TCAAAAGAAGGCACCAAGTCACCATCCCATGTTGCTGGCTAGGGTTTGGCGATAGACAGTACAATAAGAAACCAAGTCACAAGGAATGGAAGCACGGAAGAGAGTAATGTCTCCGAAAGGTGGCCTTCTAATCTAACTTGTTAGCTCACTCACTCACACATACAGTACAGGAAAAACACAAGGAACGGAAGCACTGAAGAGATTAACGTCCCCTCCTTGAACGGCGGGCTCCTATCTTATTACCTCACTCACTCACACACACGCTCACACACTCACTCACACACACACTCACTCACACACTCGCTCACACACACACACACACTCACCCCAAAGTTAGTCCCCAAAGTGAGAGCATCAGTTTTGTTGACATGGCGGATGGAGGTGAGGGCACTGGTGAGCTGGAGAGAGGGCAGTAAGGAAGGGTCGGAGAAGGGGTTGGGTTGGAAAATGGCACAGCAGGAAGAGACGTGAGTGAGATCATCGGTGCAGTTGCCATGGCGGACGGACGTGAGCGCGCTGGTGAGGTGGAAGAGAGGGCAGGGGGAGAGGGATGGGGGAGTGGAAGGTGGGTTGGAAAATGACAGCAGGAAGAGACGTGAGTGAGATCATTGGTGCGGTTGACATGGCGGATGGACGTGAGTGCGCTGGTGAGCTGGAGAGAGGGTAGGGGGGAAAGGAAAGGGGAGGGGATTCGAGGTGGGTGTGAGAACGGGACAACAAGGAGAGAGGTGGGCTAGAAAGGAGGGAGAGAGCCAAGAGAGTGAAAGCGTCGATGCGGTTGACATGGAAGAACAGGTAAATAACTGATGAGCTGGAGAGGAAAAGGGATTTGGTGAGGGAGGGGGGGAGTGAAGGTAGGTCAAACTGGACAGAAATATCAAAGAAGCGAGAGCATCAGTGCAGTTCAAATAGTAGCTAGAGGGGAGTAAATACCATTTGGGGCACTAAGCCCTCTTGCCAAACCGTCTCCTGAACCCTCTCCGTAAACCCTACCCCAAAACCCTACCCAGGAGATGTAGTCACTGTCCACCCGCTCTTCAATGCCCACAGAGACAGGCCAGGAAGGCAGAGAGTGCAAAAGGCAACAGACACCCTCACCCTACAACCTACCCGGGAGATGTAGTCGCTGTCCACCTGCTCCTGAATGCTGTTTGCTGGCTTGTTCCCATACCTCTCGAGAGCCAGGGAGGTGCACACGCACTGCCCTCTTGCACACGTACAGGTAGGCAGAGCGTGCAAAAGGCAAAGCAACAGACCCCCTCTCCTTACAACCCCTCCTTACAACAACCTACCCGGGAGATATAGACACTGTCGACCCGCTCTTGAATGCCGTTTGCCGGCTTGTTCTCGTAGCTCTTGAGGGTCTCCAGGTATCGCGCACACTCATTGGGACTGAAAGGGCAGAAGGAAAGGCAATCAAGAAAAAGGGCCAGGCAAGAAAGGAATCAGCCGGCTTGATTTCATATCTCTTGAGAGTCTGCAGATACCGAGCGCACTCGTTGGGACTGAAAGGGCAGAAGGCAGAGGGTGGGGAAGTGGGAGTGAAAGGGGAAGCGATGAGCCGGCTTCTTTCGGTAGCTCTTGAGAGTTCTAGATACCCTGCACACTCGTTGGGCAGAGAGAGTGGTAGAAGGGTAGGCATGAAGAAGAGCAAAGAAAATCAAGCTGGATTGCTTGTTCACGTCGCTCTTGAAAGTCTCTATGTGCCGAACGCACTCACTGGAAATGAGAGGCAGGAAGGAGGGCAGGAAGATAGGAAAGCAGGCAGAGGGCGGGAGAGAGGAGCGAAAGGAGACTGGGGCCCACATAATGGTAAGTCTCACCTCCAGGCTCACAGGAGCGTGCAATCATTTAAGAGGGCTGTCTTGGTGATGTCATGCAGGGGCTTGGTGACGTCATCAACGTCCACGTGGCACAGCACGATTCGCAGGCGGAAGCTCCTCTGCAGCTCCCTGATTGGCCCAAAAGCGGAGACACAGAATAGGTGAGTAATAAACGAAGGCATGAGATAAACAAAAGCAGGCTCAGATAAACGAAATCTCAAATCTAGCTGATTTGAAAGTAAAAATAGTTTGGGTGCAGCAGGAGGTATCGCAGGGAGAGGAAAGAGCAAGATGATCCATTATAGACTGATGCAGTACATGCTCATAGTACCTGATTCGAAAATAGAGGTAGTCTGGGTGCAGCAGGTGGTATCGCAGGGAGAGGAAAGAGCAAGATGATCCATTATAGACTGATGCAGTACATGCTCATAGTACCTGATTCGAAAATAGAGGTAGTCTGGGTGCAGCAGGTGGTATCGGAGCGAGAGGAAGAGCGCGCAGGAGGAGGGGGAGAGGAGATAGTCTGGTGTGATCTCACCAAACGCCCACCGCACGTTCCTGATGTGGGAGAGGACAGGGTTGCCCCTCTGTAGTACAGGGCAGGGTTGAGCAGAGGGGTAATGGGCACAGGGGGAGGGGAAAGAGTGCGCAGGAGGAGGGGGAGAGGAGGTAGTCGGGAGCAATCTCCCCAAACGCCCACCGCACGTTCCTGAGGTGACTTTTGAGTCGACTCATAAGTCACCTCGTAATCTCCCCAAACGCCCACCGCACGTTCCTGAGGTGACTTTTGAGTCGACTCATAAGTCACCTCGTAATCTCCCCAAACGCCCACCGCACGTTCCTGAGGTGACTTTTGAGTCGACTCATAAGTCACCTCGTAATCTCCCCAAACGCCCACCGCACGTTCCTGAGGTGACTTTTGAGTCGACTCATAAGTCACCTCGTGATCTCCCCAAACGCCCACCGCACGTTCCTGAGGTGACTTTTGAGTTGACTCAAAAGTCACCTCGTAATCTCCCCAAACGCCCACCGCACGTTCCTGAGAAGCACGTTCATGTGAGAGACGCACGGGGTTGCCTCTCTGACGCATCCAAGACAAGAGGGAGCATAAGGGGAAAGACAAGGAGAATGTGCTTCTTTAGTCTGTCTACTCACAGGATCTTGTTTAATCCTCATGCGCCCATCTCACGTTCCTGATGTGAGAGAGGACGCAATTGACTCTGTGCCGTGCAGAGCAGAGGGGAGCAGAGGCGGAATAGGGAAAGCGAAGGGGGAGAGGAGGCCAAGAGCATGGCACCAATAATAACACTACCATCCCTCATGGAACCAGGTATTTTAAACTCCGGCCTAGATTATTATTACAATCATCACTGTTATTAATGCGAGATGATCATGCAGCTGAGATGATCGTTTAACGAATTTCTAAAAACGCTTCTTTTGTGAGCCATCTAAGAGGTACCTGTTTCGGGCTGACGATAATGCAGCCGCGATTATCTTGGCTAGAGACTAAGTAAGCTTCTCTGTGAGACATCTCAAAGGTACCTGTTTCTGGCTGACAGTGATGTAGATGCGATTATCTTGGGTGGAGACTTGTAATCTTCCTCCGTGAGACACCTCAAAGGTACCTGTTTCGGCCTGACAGTGATGCAGCCGCAATTATCTCGGGTGGAGACTATTAAGCTTCTCTGTGAGACATCTCAAAGGTACCTGTTTCGGGCTGACAGTGATGTAGATGCGATTATCTTGGGTGGAGACTAGTAAGCTTCCTCCATGAAACACCTCAAAGCTACCTGTTTCGGGCTGACAGTGATGTAGATGCGATTATCTTGGGTGGAGACTTGTAAGCTTTTTCCGTGAGATACCTCAAAGCTACCTGTTTCGGGCTGACGATGATACAGCTGCGGGTCGCAGCAGTGAAAGCGAACGTGGCCGTTGCGCTCAAGGTGACTTTAGAGTGCACAGATGACAAGTTGACTCCGAATCAAAGCTACCTGTTTCGGGCTGACGATGATGCAGCTCCGGTTCGCAGTGGTGAAAGCAAACGCGGCTGCTGCACTCGCCGCCACTTCGCTCGCCGGAATCGCCATGGCGGAAGTTCGCTGGTCACACTATTTCGAGGACGAATTGTCCCGGCAATCCCGAGGGAGATTCGCTGGTCACCCTATATCGAGGACGAATCGCTCCGGCAATCCCCAGGGAGATTCGCCTAGTGGTCTAGGATGACTCATAGGTTACCAGCAGTTGCATCGCTGGCCGGAAGCACCATGGTGAGCTTTCAAGAAAGCGTTCGTCGGCCGCGCTAGGAGACGGATTACTCGCATATGCCAGTGTTAGGTGGTGGCATTTCAGTGAAGCGGCTAGGAGTTGATTTATTTCCCTGAACGATGGTGCGTGATTGACCACTTGTACGCCTTATAGGATGAACAGGGGACTGACACGTCTGTACATGGCATGAGTTGGATTGTCATACGACTTGCTCAGAACGTAGCCGCATTCTGCTGGGAGTGCTTTGAGACTCCTTCGGTACAGGACAGGACATGCAAACAGTGTTGGTTCATAAGACAGTGGGCGATACAGATTATTCCAAACACTTCATACTGACTGATCAACAATGGCCCATAGTACCTTGACCGAAGTAAAGCCTCATTGCATCAACAAACATGCAATGTACAACAAAGCGCCTAGCTTTGATCTAGTTCTCATGTCTATATACAATTAGTTGTCTTCCATAAATATGGAGCATGCGCTTTGTGTCTTCGCCTGCTTGAGGGGCAATGGAAACAAGGTGGCGTGGGAACAAACACGTGAGTTATGGTAGAAATCAGACAACGATGATGCAGTAGGGTTGGAAAAACCTGGTGGTGGGAAGATGGGCTGAAACAAAAAGAACATAAACGTTTTCCAAGCTTTGTGGATATGCAAATAAAAAATGATTTGAATGAACGTGACTGTAACTCGTTGTAGGAACAATCCAAGAGATGGACACCACATAGGCATGCCACTTCTGACAATGCTCCCAGTAAATCTCCCCGAAGGCCGGCTTTAATAGGCGATGGTACTGCGGAACAGAGCGACTATCAAGCACATGCAGCACTTGACGAGCTCCAACCCACAGACCCTCCGGGAGGAAACTAAGGAGGAAAAATACTCGCATGAGTTACAGAACCAACCTTTTAACTAGTCATTGGTGGAATGAGCAGACTTGGAAGTAGAATTAGTCGCAGAACCACCGGACGCGGCAGCAGCTGCGGCTGCCCTCTTGGCCTTGGCCGCTTCGATCTTTGCGAGCTTCGCTTGGTGAGCGTTCACGAACTTTCCTCGATGCTGCCCTTTGCCGCTGACGGCATCTGCCTGGAAAAATAAAAAATGGATAGATGGTGCAGAAATTCAAAGAATGAGGGATGATTTGACAAAACCACTCGTCACAAACAAAGTATACAACGGAATTTCAACAGCCACAGCAATTTGTAAATTCCAAATCCCCTTCTCGTCGAACTCACCTCTCGCGCAGACTCTTCCGCTGCCGCTTTCAAACTCGCGACGGCTGTCGCTTTTTTGGCGCTAGACATTGAGCTTCCGAATTCGCTGCACCGAATCTCTGCAGTTTGCGGCAACGTCTCAGGCGTCGTCGCTGGTAAATCACATTAGAAACAAAATCCGCGAATTCCGCTCAGGAAATGGAATCGAGAGCGACAGTGCGGGGGAGTTCCTGAGAACGGTCATTCCTGGAGCGGCAAGGGTGTTTGGGTTGAGCGTCCAGACTATTAGGCCATACATGATCAAACAACACCATTGCTAGTGAGCTGTGAGCGGCAACTTACTCATCCCTGGCCTAAAGGCATAAGAAGTATAAGGCTCCACAAGACAGTAGGATATGAAAGCGAGCCATGGCAGGCACCTGCCCCGCTTGGTAGGTTGGATGAGAGGAACGACTAGGAGAGCAGCAGTGGAGGGCAGGAAGGCAGAGAGGAGGACGAGTTTCGGACTGAACAAGTCGGATACGTTTTTCGGGGCTTCGCAATTTTGCCATGAACTTCCCTTAACAGCATCTTCGATATTAACATTGCTCGCTGTGAGGTGCACGTATTAGAAAAAAAAAACTCAACGATATATGACGACAAGACTGATGGTCAATGGCTGGCAATAACCATGTTTTCTTGCAATAGAGCGATCTGAGCTACGACGTTTTCTAACTGGCAATTCCTAGCTTCATCCTACTAGCCCATCTGGTGGCTTCTTTCATCACCCTTTCATCCACAAATGGTCGAAGCTGCCACATCATCAAGCATGATGCCAGGTGGGCAGCTGATGTGGATAGAGAGAGGTCTGCCACAATGATGAGCTGAATACAATAAAAACGAGAAGAACAAAACAAAGAAGGATACAGGGGGGAAGAGGGAGGGTGGGAGGGGAGGCAGGCGGGGATGAGACGCTAAACAGACCTGGCGTGTTTTGAGGGAAAACAATATGAGTGTAGAGATTTAACAAACAAGCGAGCCAGCAGAAACAGATATGCACCTTCATTTGGAGGTCCTCCTTGAGCATTTCCAACACAGCTGCCATCATGGTTACACCGCTTCGTGTCCCTGCTGCTACCCCCTTAAAATGGTTCTTGTCATCAGTACCATCATCAGCACTGGCGGCAGCAGCATTAGAATGATAAAAATCAGCAATATCACCACTGACCGCGCCGCCAGCAGCAGCTACACCAGCATCACCAGCAGGCTGGGCTGCTGCATGCAAATTCTCCCCAAGCAAGCGCGAGGCGGCAGTGTGATAAATATCTGCCAATTCAGACACAGTCTCCTGCATGCGTGAAAAGACAAACACATAAGTACATGCACACATAAGCCCATGCACACGTGGGGGGTCTCATAAAGTAAGCGTGAGGTGATAATGTGATAGATATATATATATATATATATATATATATATATATATATATATATATAGATATTTCCTGACAATGTTTCCTGTATGTGCGGGGAGATTGGCACATAAACACATGGACACATGAAAACATTCGCAAATAAACCTGATTACATTTTTACGACAGTTACAGGGTCCCATGGCTAAATAAATACTCAAGTAACATGGTTACCTGCTGCAAAACTAACCTGATGCAGTTCAACCAGCTGCTGCAGAAGTGTGAGAGAGGTGTGTACTGCCGTTTAGAAAGGAAACAAGAAGCAGGGAGAAATAGAAGGCAGAATTAGAAAGTGGAAAGGATAACAACGGACGCATATATGATAGCAGGCTTGTGCTGCTTCGAGCGAGGAAACGAGGAGGAAGGAGGTGTGGCGAAAGGTGAAGAAGGTGGGAAAACGTGTCAAACGTGAGCTGGGAGAATGAAGAACAGGAGTCGAAGATGTGATGGTGGCTTTGGACGGATTTGATGAGCAGGTGCGACGGGCAAGGTGAAGGGGGAAAAGGACGAAAAGGGATCATACATGTGATGGCGGCTTGCTGCTGTTTGGAAGGGCGAGTGCAGCCAGCAGCCATGTACTCAGCCAGTGGCGATGAGAATGACGAAGCTGATGCTGAAGGTGGTGATGGTGATGTTGCTGCTGGAGCTCTACTCGAATCGGGCACAAGTGAAGAGGCCTGGAAGGATGCGAGGATGCCCGATACGAGAGGGGACTGGGAGATGACTTCAGCGGATGAGCGGTGGAACTGCTCTGATACCATGAATGGTGTGGGGGGAGCGGGGGAGGGGGGAGGGAGGGAGGAAAGGAGAACGAGATACCATGGATGGTGGGGGGGGAGGGGGAAGGGGGGAGGGGAAGGAGAAGGAGGGGGGAACAGAAGGAAGGATGCGAGGCCTCTGCCAACCCACACCACACACCACACCACACCATGCCATACCACACATCACACATTACATCATACGACACACAGCACCGCACCACACCATACCATACCGTGTGCTGATTGGAACGACGAAAGCGCTGCAGTTCCCTTCCTATGGAAAGCCTCTGCAACCTCGAAGCTGTTGGTGAGAGAGGGAAGATAATAGAGGTGAAAAGGCAGAAGAGCGGGAATAGAGAAGAAAGAGGGTGTGTTCAAATACAGAAAGCGCTGCATTTCCCTTCCTATGGAAAGCCTCCACAACCTCGAAGCTGTTGGTGAGAGGCGGGAAATGGAAGAGAGGAGAGAGACGCGAGAGGTGCGACAGAGATACTAGAGCTGTCCAATCCGGAGCAGAGGGAAAGACGATGAGGAGAGGCGTCTCTTCAACGATCATTCTAAGGACATACATATAGGAAGCGACACTTCTCTACGAATCAAACTAGGCGGAAACACAATTTTCCTGAGGCGCCTCAGAAATACCTTTCCATGAATTCCGCAAACTCCTTTGCCATCCGCAGGAGAAATCGGCCTCTTTGCTTCACGCAATCACCAGTCGCGTCAGCTACGGTGCTCCTCACATGGGCGCGAATTTCTGCGTTGCTTGCACACGTGCTTTCCACGTCAGCAAGTGCCTGCAAGATTTGCAAGATTCGGAAAGAAGGCAGACAGTCATTACCGAGCTACTGGGCGCCGGGTTTCTAGTTCTTCTGGTCCCTAACCACTGATTGGTTTGTAAAAGTATTTTGAGGCGCCTCAAAAACCGCGAGACAGGAGACAACTTCTGAGGCGCCTTAAAGTTGTTTCTAGTTCCTTCTGGTCCCTGAACTCTGAATGGTTTGTAAAGGTTTCCTCTCGTCTCTCTGGTACTAAGAGTTGAGTATCAGCCTGCATTTGCTCCCCAGTGCGTCGCCTCGCGACAGAGCGTCGAGCTAGACGTGCAGTGAATAATTGACCGGACTGACCTTACCTACACGCTGGTTCACAAGCCTTTCAAGCATTCACAGACCAGAGCTGCTGGCTTGAGCGCGACGGTCTGGGCCAAAACTAGAGAGGGAGAAAAATCCCCGTTAGTGCTTCTTCGCACAACTGAGGTTTGTTTTCAACTAGCGTAACTTGTCTACACCACGTATTTACAAGTTGAGAGCATGGTGTGCTATCAACCTGCCCCCTCGAGTCCACCTGCCCCCTCGCAAACTTCTGGCTCGGTTCGGCCTGGTTCGGTTCGGCTTTGGCCTCGACTCGGTTCGATTCGGTTCGGTTTGTTCAGGCTGGTTTTTTCGGGGTCAGCCCCGCCAGGTTTGACCCGTACCTCGACTTCGCTCGGTTAGGCTTGTTACTGAACGATTCGATTCGGTCCACCATACCACACGCACATGTCACCCACACGCCGAGTCAACCATACCTCGGAGCTCCCTAGGACACCAGCAGCTCATGAAGGTCTCAAGCGGAGCCGCCAAAACAAACTCACCGCCAGACCAAGGAAGCTGTGTCACAGCTGCTGGGGGCGAACATCGCTGTTGCCAGTCGGCGTTTTCTAGGTTGCTGTTCCTTCTTTCTTTCTTCCATTCCACAACCATTGCTCGGCTGATGGAGAAATGGGGAGACGGCATTTTCTAGGCTCCCTGCGCTGAAGAGCACAGATGATTCTAAGAGCTTATACGTCGATTTTGAGCTGCTGCTGACATCCTGCATTTGTCCGGTATTCGTGAGACGACTTACGGCTGTACTAGTTATATATGCTGAGTCCCGGTCCTGTGCGGTCCTGCCCGACTTATTCCCTGGCACGCTTCAACCTGACAGTAGCTTGTAGATAAGGCTGGGCTTTAGATTAGAAGATTTTTGTGCGAGTTCGACGCTACCAGCGATAAGATTGGAGTAATTTCTGAGAGAAACCGCGAAGGCTTAGGAGTCTTTTCTTGTCGCGTTTGCGCCGTCACTTCTAGGAACAGGCCGCTCGTCGCGACGCGAGCAATGTTTAAGTTTATTAGTAACGGCTTTTCCAGCCCACGCGGGAAGACTATTAGCGGCTTTTCCAGTCCACGCGGAAAGCCTAGGGGTTCGCGATTATCCGGTTTCGATGGTTCTGGCGGTTCCGGCCTCATAGCTTTCTCTTATAAGGAGCTGTCAGCGGCTACTAATAAGTTCCACTCGAGCCGCGTGTTGGGGGAAGGAAGCTTCGGGAAAGTTTACCGAGGGAAGGTGACTGGAGTGGAAGCTGAAGATTGGCAGGAGGATAGTAACGGGGATGTTAGTAAAGCGAATGTGACTAACGCGGGTGATGATAAAGGGGATGGCGGCAAATCGAAAGGCAGTAAAGCGGATAAGGCGGAGGTGGCGGTTAAAGTGCTACACGAGGGAAGCATTCAAGGGATGGCGGAGTGGATGGTGAGTGCGTCAAGGAAGCTAATAGCGGGGATGGTTTATTTATATTGTCTGTTGCTACCCAAAAAGGAATACGAATCTGGTGAACCTGGTTCGATTTTGCCTCCTCGTCTTCCCCTTTCGCTGTCTCACTTGTTAGGGCACGGGCCAAGGTTCGGCTGCTGCAGGGTGTTCTTGAGAATTCTCAAAAGCACCCTTAGGCCACAGGCCAAGGTTCGGCTGCTGAAAGGCTGGAACCCAGCAAATTGGGTGAACCCGATCGGATATGGTTCCTCCCCCCCCCCCCCCCCCCCCCCCCCCTCCTCTCCCCCTTCTTCCTTTTTTTTTTATGCTCTGGAAAGATAGTCCCGTGTCCTGTTCCCACTATTTGATCTATTTCGCTGCCTCGCAGGCCGAGATCCTGCTACTGGGAAGGTTGAAACAGTCTGTTTCCAAGGCGCTTCGAGATCAAGGAAGCGTCTCTCTTGTGCTGTTCCCGTTCCCTGAGTTGTTTTTTGAGGCGCCTCAGAAGTCCCTGGTTTGTTTTTTGAGGCGCCTCAAAAGTCCCTGATTTGTTTTTTGAGGCGCCTCAAAAGTCTTTGATTTGTTTTCGCTGCCTTGCAGGCCGAGATTTTGGTGCTTGGAAGGCTGAAACACCCCAACTTGGTAAATCTGATCGGATACTGTTCCGAAAAGAACCACGCGATGCTGGTGTATGCGCTGATGCCACATGGGGGGCTGGATACGTGGTTACTGCAAGGTGAGGCATGCCGCATGCACACACACGCACACGCACACACATGTACGCACACACACGCGCTCACACACACATTGGCGCGTGTGGTTGCTCTCAAAAGAACCAGGCGATGCTGGTGTATGCGCTGATGCCACATGGGGGGCTGGATACATGGTTACTGCAAGGTGAGGCATGTCGCATGCACACGCACACATGCAATGCACGCACATAGATGCTCGTATGCACAGCACACATGGTTTTGAGTCGACTCAAACGCACACATGCAATGCACGCACATAGATGCTCGTATGCACAGCACACATGGTTTTGAGTCGACTCAAACGCACACATGCAATGCACGCACATAGATGCTCGTATGCACAGCACACATGGTTTTGAGTCGACTCAAACGCACACATGCAATGCACGCACATAGATGCTCGTATGCACAGCACAAATGGTTTTGAGTCGACTCAAACGCACACATGCAATGCACGCACATAGATGCTCGTATGCACAGCACACATGGTTTTGAGTCGACTCAAACGCACACATGCAATGCACGCACATAGATGCTCGTATGCACAGCACGCATGGTTTTGAATCGACTCAAACGCACACATGCAATGCACGCACATAGATGCTCGTATGCACAGCACACATGGTTTTGAGTCGACTCAAACGCACACATGCAATGCACGCACATAGATGCTCGTATGCACAGCACACATGGTTTTGAGTCGACTCAAACGCACACATGCAATGCACGCACATAGATGCTCGTATGCACAGCACACATGGTTTTGAGTCGACTCAAACGCACACATGCAATGCACGCACATCGATGCTCGTATGCACAGCACACATGGTTTTGAGTCGACTCAAACGCACACATGCAATGCACGCACATAGATGCACGTATGCACAGCACACATGGTTTTGAGTCGACTCAAACGCACACATGCAATGCACGCACATAGATGCTCGTATGCACAGCACACATGGTTTTGAGTCGACTCAAACGCACACATGCAATGCACGCACATAGATGCTCGTATGCACAGCACACATGGTTTTGAGTCGACTCAAACGCACACATGCAATGCACGCACATAGATGCTCGTATGCACAGCACACATGGTTTTGAGTCGACTCAAACGCACACATGCAATGCACGCACATAGATGCTCGTATGCACAGCACACATGGTTTTGAGTCGACTCAAACGCACACATGCAATGCACGCACATAGATGCTCGTATGCACAGCACACATGGTTTTGAGTCGAATCAAACGCACACATGCAATGCACGCACATAGATGCTCGTATGCACAGCACACATGGTTTTGAGTCGACTCAAACGCACACATGCAATGCACGCACATAGATGCTCGTATGCACAGCACACATGGTTGCTCCCAGCTGAACCAGGCTGTGCTGGTGTATGCGTTGATGCCATGCTGCACGGATACAAGCGTGGACTGGATACATGGCTACTGCAAGGTGGGGCACAAGCGTGGGTGCGTGCACGCACGCACGCACGCACGCACACGTGCTCGCTCGCGCGCACACACACACACACCCTCATCCCCCCTCCTTCCACCCTTTCATACCCCCGGCCCCCTCAACGTCACAGATTCGCCCCGCCCTGTGCTGACGTGGCAGCAGAGAATACGGATTGCTGTGGGAGCAGCGCAGGGCCTGGCTTACCTGCACGGGACGAACATCATTCATAGGGACCTCAAGTCGTGCAATATCCTGCTGGACCAGGTGAGGAAGTGAGCGCGCTACTGTGTAGTTACTGGGGGCAGCTGGGGGCAGACAGCAGAGGGCCTGGCTTACCTGCACGGGTGCAACATCATTCACCGGGATCTCAAGTCGTGCAATATCCTGCTGGACCAGGTGAGGAAGTGAGCGCGCTACTGTGTAGTTACTGGGGGCAGCTGGGGGCAGACAGCAGAGGGCCTGGCTTACCTGCACGGGTGCAACATCATTCACCGGGATCTCAAGTCGTGCAATATCCTGCTGGACCAGGTAAGGAAGTGAGCGCGCTACTGTGTAGTTACTGGGGGCAGCTGGGGGCAGACAGCAGAGGGCCTGGCTTACCTGCACGGGTCGAACATCATTCACCGGGATCTCAAGTCGTGCAATATCCTCTTAGACCAGGTAGGATTGCGACTGGGTAGTTATTGTGGGCAGGGTAGACAACACAGCACAGAGCTTGGCATATCTGCACGGTTCGAACATCATTCACCGGGATCTCAAGTCGTGCAATATCCTGCTGGACCAGGTGAGGAAATGAGCACGCTAATGTGTAGTTACTGGGGGCAGGTGGAGGCAGCGCTGGGCCTGGCTTACCTGCACGGGTCGAACATCATTCACTGGGATCTCAAGTCGTGCAATATCCTCTTAGACCAGGTAAGGAAGTGAGCGCGCTACTGTGTAGTTACTGGGGGCAGCTGGGGGCAGACAGCAGAGGGCCTGGCTTACCTGCACGGGTCGAACATCATTCACCGGGATCCCAAGTCGTGCAATATCCTCTTAGACCAGGTGAGCCTTGCAATTGCTACTGGGTAGTAGCTGGGTCACGGTAGGCAGCACAGGGCTTGGCTTACCTGCACGGGACGAATATCATTCACAGGGATCTCAAGTCGTGCAATATCCTCTTAGACCAGGTGAGCCTTGCAATTGCGACTGGGTCCCCCCTCCAGAGCTCGTGCTCGGGTCTCCCGTGCACGTGTCTCTGGACACTCTCGCTGAGGCCGGTTGCATTTCACCTCCACATTACTCATCAAGTGGTGGTTCCTTGTCTTCTCTCCCCTTGCGTTCTCCAGCCACCATCCTCCCGAACTCCCCCCAGATCCTTCGCCTTCTGTCTCGGCATGCGTTGCGCCATACCCAGGGTTTCGTTCTTCCTCCCCCATAGTTGGACTTCCTTTTTCAGTGTCAATGCTGCCTATGTCCCTCCTTCCGCCCTGCTTCAGCTTCTGCTCAGGTCGGTGGACTTCTCTCAACTGTGCAGTCTGTACGTTCTCCAGTGCTGCCGGCAGCCTTTCCTTCCGGTACCTTGCCTTGACATCTGCCCGTGCCACGCCAGTCTCAGCCCCTCCTATTTCCCCTATCTCTCTCACGAGCAAGACTTCCTTCTCCTGGTCGCTCACTGCCTCTCCCACCGCCCACTTGGCTTCTTCCTTTGCTGGCCAACCTGGCCATGCACCCACTTTCGTATCCTTCCCTCCGGCTTCCGTTGCTCCTGTTACACTCGCCCATGCCCGAACCTTCACGTCCTTCCTTTCCGCTTCTGCTGCTGCTAGTACACACGCCCCTGCCCCCACGTCCTTGTCCTTCCCTCCTACTGCTGCTGCTGCTGGTACACTCGCCCATGCCCCCATGTCCTCGTCCCTCCCCTCTACTTCTGCTGCTGCTGGTACACACGTCTGTGCTCCCACCTTCTCTTCTTTCCCTTCCTCTTCTGCTGCTACTGCCACACACACCTGTGCCCCCACCTCCTCATTTTTCCCTTCCTTTTCCGCTGCTGCTCCTACACATGCTTCTGCCCCCATCTGCTCGTCCCGCTCCTCCGCTTCCGCTGCCGCTGGTACACATACCCCTGCCCCCACCTTCTCCACCTTTCCTTCCGTATCTGCTGCCGCTGGTACCCATACCCCTGCCCCCACCTTCTCCACCTTTCCTTCCGTATCTGCTGCCGCTGGTACACATACCCCTGCCCCCACCTTCTCCACCTTTCCTTCCGTACCTGCTCCTGCTGGTACACATACCTCTGCCCTCACCTTATCCTCCTTGCCTTCCGCTTTTGGAGTTGCTGGTATACATGCCCATACCCCCACCTTACTCACACGCTCCCCTCGTCCGTCCCTGCCCCCACTGCACAGCCTCATATCTTCACGGACACGCAGCACAGCATATGAGCACTCTGGCTCCTGCATCTCCTTCTCCTCCTCTTCCTCCCTCGCGTACCACCCCTTCTCTTCCTTTCCTCTTAGCACCTGCAGTTGAGCTCGTAACCTCCCAAGCTGGTTTTCTATCTCCTCGACTGACTTCTCCGGGCAATATTGCGCTTCGGCGGTGTCCGTGCTTCCCGCACACATCACAGTTTCTGCAGTTTATCCTGATGTGCCCTTTCTGCCCGCATCTGTGACACGTCCGGGTATCCGGCCGTCCCTCTTGCCGCTGTTCTTCGCTGCCCTCGTCTTCATGTGTCATTGCTACTGCCCACGTCGCCCTCTTTCTCTCTGCCACCAACGGTAGGTAAACTTCATACCGCCTTTGCGCCAGTTCCACTTTCTCTGCGAGTTCAAACACTTCTTCCAGCGTCGCATCAGCTCCCAGCTCGTACACTCTCATCCTCAGTCCACCGCTAAGTCCCTCATCTAGTCCCCCAAGGAACTTGCTTATAAGCATGCTGCCATCTGTGCACACCACGTCTTCCGCCAGATTCATCAACCTCCCGTAGTAGGTGAGCAGTGACTCGGTCCCTCCCTCGCCTGAACTCTTGAAATTCTCTAATTCTCTGCGCAGTGTGCCCTGGAAACTGTTTTCTCAGTCGCTCTAGGAACAGCGTCGTGGGATCATCTCCATCCTCCTCTGCCCGCCTCAGCCACTCCGGCATCTTCATCCGGTACAGCGTTTCAGCTTCGCCCCCCAACGTATTCGGAAGGCTTAAGAAAAACTCTATGGGGTCCATCCCGCTTCTATCGCAGCGGTACTTCACATTTGCGATCTGCATCAGGTAATTCTTCAGGTTGGTTCCGGATCCTGCTCCCCCTGTAAAGCGCACCGGCACCTCCACCTGAGGTGGGGCCTGTATACTCCACCTCCCCGTCTCCCAAGCCCCTGAGATCTCATTCCTCTTGCTACTCTCTCCTCTCCTCTCCCTCGACTCTCTGCTCCTTGATTCTGTCCCATACAGCACTTGATAGATTCCTTCCCTGGCTGCCTTGGCTCCTCCCGAGCCTACCCATGGCTGCTGCGGCCTTCCTCGCCAGCTCTGACTTGGGCTCCTTCCCCGCTCTCTCTCACGAGTCTCCCCATGTCCCTCTGATCCCCGCCCTGGTCTCCCTCTCTTTTCAGGGGAATATTCTTCCCAGCGCTTCTCCCTTTGGCCAAATCCGTAGCGTCCTGGTCTATCATACTTTCTTTCTTCCTCGCTTTCCGTGTCATGCTCAGGCGTTCAACTCCTGCCGCCTACGCTGCTCCTCTCTTTTCCCTCTCTGCCCTCTCTCGTCCTGCTTCTTCCTCACCTCCACTCCAGGTTCCCTCTGCCCTTCTTGCCTTCCCCTGTACCCCTCTCTTCCTTCAGGGAGTGATTCCTTCTCATGCCGCTCCTGCTCACCCCATCGGCGCTGATCCAGCCCATACTCATATTCCTCCCTTCTACTCGTTGCCCCCCATTCCGATGACCCCTCCCTTCTTCCGCGCTGCTCCTCATTGCTCTTGCTCCCCGAGCTCCTCCCGTACAGAAATCGCTCTATCCCCTCCCGGGCTGCTCTGGCTTCCCTTGATTGCCATGGCCTCCTCGGCCCCAGTGGACTCCTTCCCCGCTCACCCTCACAAGCCCCTCTCCGCTTTTCTGATTCTCCCCATCGCCCTTCGCTCTTCTCAGGCATGCGTTCCTGACAACGCCTCCCTCGCTCATACTCCTCCCTCCGTATCTCTGGTGCTCGCCGCACGTCCATCGCCATACGTCTCCTCTCACGTCCTCGCGGCCCAAACGAGCTGTCCAATCCCATGGGCGCATAGTTTTTTCCACCGTCCTCCCGCCTGCCGTCCAGCGAGCGATCTGCCGCAGCGCTCCCGCGGCGCCTCGCACCTCCGTCGCGCATCTCCTCTGGCGAGCGGCGATCTGCCGCAGCGCTCCCGCGGCGCCTCGCACCTCCGTCGCGCATCTCCTCTGGCGAGCGGCGATCTGCCGCAGCGCTCCCGCGGCGCCTCGCACCTCCGTCGCGCATCTCCTCTGGCGAGCGGCGATCTGCCGCAGCGCTCCCGCGGCGCCTCGCACCTCCGTCGCGCATCTCCTCTGGCGAGCGGCGATCTGCCGCAGCGCTCCCGCGGCGCCTCGCACCTCCGTCGCGCATCTCCTCTGGCGAGCGGCGATCTGCCGCAGCGCTCCCGCGGCGCCTCGCACCTCCGTCGCGCATCTCCTCTGGCGAGCGGCGATCTGCCGCAGCGCTCCCGCGGCGCCTCGCGCCACTCCCGCGCACCTCTTTTGGTGCACGATCCGCATCCGCGTTGTTCCCGCGGCGCCTCGCGCCACTCCCGCGCACCTCTTCTGGTGCACGATCCGCATCCGCGTTGTTCCCGTGGCGCCTCGCGCCACTCCCGCGCACCTCTTCTGGTGCACGATCCGCATCCGCGTTGTTCCCGTGGCGCCTCGCGCCACTCCCGCGCACCTCTTCTGGTGCACGATCCGCATCCGCGTTGTTCCCGTGGCGCCTCGCGCCACTCCCGCGCACCTCTTCTGGTGCACGATCCGCATCCGCGTTGTTCCCGTGGCGCCTCGCGCCACTCCCGCGCACCTCTTCTGGTGCACGATCCGCATCCGCGTTGTTCCCGTGGCGCCTCGCGCCACTCCCGCGCACCTCTTCTGGTGCACGATCCGCATCCGCGTTGTTCCCGTGGCGCCTCGCGCCACTCCCGCGCACCTCTTCTGGTGCACGATCTGCATCCGCGCGTTTCTCCTGGCGCCTTGCGCTGCCCTCACGCATTTCGTCCGCCGAGCGACCTGCACCCACACTCCCGCGCTGTTTCGCGCCGCCTCCGCGCATCCCTACCGGCGAGCTATTTTCGCCTGCGTCTTTGCTCCCTTCGTCGCGCTGTTCTTCCGCGACTTCTTCCTTCTCACCATCCCGCGTCATCGAGATCTCTTCTGCTCGTTCCTCGACGTCGGCCTCGCTTGCCGAATCCGACGAGTCCTCCACGTCCGCGTCGTCGCGGCGCTTTCCACCTTCTCCTTGCTGGCCGCCTGCCAGATTCCAAGGGCTGCTGCTGGACGGTTGAGGCCTGGGCTCCGATCCCGCGCGCAGATCTGCCTCGCCTGCATCTCGATGTCCGTCAAGCGCCAGATCTGTGCGGTACGCCGCCCTCCGTGGCGAACGCGTCCGCGATCTCCCACGCTCCAGTGAGCGCGTCCTCCGCGACGGTGAAAACTCCCGCCGCGAGTACATTTGCTGCCAGCGCAGCTCGTGGCAGCCCATTCTGCCCAATCTCTTCTCTCGTTTGTGAGAGATTCTCCCTCCCACACGATGGCTGCCCCTAGTGGCTTAGTCACCTAGCTGTAGTAGCGTCGATCGGCAACGTACATCCACTATAATAGGCAAACAAACGAGAGAACGATCAGCTAGGTGTGTTGGTTGACTATTTGACTGACCCCTACCGAGCCGCTACCAATTCTGTCTTACCACAGGAGTTGAGTCGCGAGGTACTGGATTGGCCTTCCAGATTACCCCAGTCTCCAAGGTTCCTCGACTTCTTCCTCCAAGCGCTCCGCAATTCCCCAAGTCTGTAACATCGCATCCCCCCCCCCTCTTGGTAACCCAACTATTTCTACAGTACTGAAATAACATTCCTACACCTCACTAGCTCATAACATATATCTATTACACTATAATAGATTCTGTGACACCCCTCCCCCTTTCCCCTCCCTCGTTTGCCCCTATCCCTCCAGCACATGCGCGCCAGGGTGACAGACTTTGGAATGGCAAGGGACAATTCTATTGACGCCTCTGGAGCCCCTTCCCTCCACCGCCCTTCCCGCCGCCCTCTCTCTCCCCTCCCGCTCCCTTTCCCTCCAGCACATGCGCGCCAGGGTGACAGACTTTGGAATGGCGAGGGCGGGACCAGAGGAGGGGAAGACGCACGTGTCCACTCAAATAAAGGGGACTTTGGGGTATCTAGACCCTGAATACATGGACACGGGTAGGTCAACAAGAGGATGCAGAAGCGTAAGTATCGTGGCATATGGGTGTGACTGTAAGGGTTGAGGCGCAAGGGAGTGAGCATAAGGGTTGAGCCGTAAGGGAGCATGCGCGTGGTGTTTGTTAAACTGTTTCATGGTCAGCACAATTGAACTGGGTGAGGTCCATGTTTCCGAGGTGACTATTGAGTCGGCTCAAACATGACTTGTGAGAGTTGACTCGTAAGGGCATGCCCACTGGTGCTGGTTATATTGGTTCGTGGTTGATTGGTTCATGGTCAGTACAATCGAACTGGATAAGGTCCATGGTTCTGCCATACTCATTTGTTTCTTTACTCCTACATGGAATATAATCCATACAAGTAAGGTGTACTTTCTTTGAGCCGATTAGAAAACCACTATCTCTGTGGTGCTGACATACCCCCTCGTAACCTCTCTCTCCCTCTCGTCGATCTCCCTCTCTTCAGGCCACCTGGCTCCCGCCAGTGACGTGTATTCCTTTGGAACAATCCTGCTTGAGCTGCTAACTGGCTGGCCTCCATTCCAACCCAAATCTTCCACTAACCCTGTCTCTTCCCCGCCCATCCTCTCCCTCCCTCTCATATTTCCCCCTTTTCAGGCCACTTGGCCCCTGCCAGTGACGTTTATTCCTTCGGAATAATTCTCCTTGATCTGCTAACAGGCTGTTCTCCAGTCGAACCCGAATCTTCCACTTACCTTGTCTCTTCCCCACTCTATCTCCCTCTCTCACTCTCTCCCTCCCTCTCATCTCATCTTCCCATCTTCAGGCCACCTGGCTCCCGCCAGTGACGTTTATTCCTTTGGAATAATTCTCCTTGAACTGCTAACAGGCCGACCTCCAGTTGAACTCAGGTCTTCCACTAACCTTGTCACTTCCCCACCCTTTCTCTCCCTCTCATATCACCCCCTCACCAGGCCACCTGGCCCCTGCCAGTGACGTTTATTCCTTTGGAATTATCCTGCTTGAGCTGCTAACGGGCCGGCCTCCAGTCGAACCTGAATCTTCCACTTACCTGATTTACCAAATCCGACCCTACTTTGACGACCCTGAGCCGAGCCTAGACAAGTTCATGGATCCGAGGCTGGAAGGGAGGTTCGGGAGGAAGTCGGCGGTGGGGTTGGTGGTTTTGGCAAAGCATTGTTTGAATGATAAAAGGAACAAGAGGCCTGAAACGAGTGTGCTTGTAGAGAGGCTCAAAGACTTGGAGAAGGTTGTAGCGAGTGAGTGTACAGGGGTTGATGCTGGTAGGGGAAGTGCGGGAAAAGAATAAGATTTACTGTATGTCCTTTGTAGGATTATGTATTGCTTGTACCGTATAGATGCCCATTAGTCATAGCAAAAAGCAGGCAAAACACCTTGTCTGCTGCTAATGCATGTCTTTTAGGTATACCATAGGCATAAATACCGCGTGACCATCATGAGTGGGGGTAGGGTAGGTAACAGTTACCGAAACTTGGGACATCGCCCCACTAAGTTTGGCAAAAGCCACTCGGTGCACACACAAATCTTCACTAGCAACAACAGAAACACCAACAGAAAGCAGCATACTTCAGTGTTTAGAAAAGAAATATATAGGCAGGAACCCACACAAGGCTCTATAGTATGTTCTTAAAAACATGTACCGGCAACTTAAAAAACGGCACTTGTTCATGATAGGGTTGTAGCAACCCCAAGCCAAGAGTTGGGGTTGCTGGTATAAAAAGAATTGGAGCGAAAGTGAAGTGGGCCAAAATTTACTGGCAACATGAAAAGTTGATGCTGATGATACGAAAATCAAAACGGGGATTAATGATGCAAGAGGTGGTGATGAATGAAGGTGGTGGGAGTGTTGGATGCGGTGATGTATGGTGGTAGGTGTCATGAAATGGTGGTGAGTGGTAGGATGCGATACAAAGGTGTGCGTGCAGCGATGAGACTCCTCACGGCCGACCCATGAAAGAAAAGGCCAGCTCCCTCCAGCACGTGTCCCTTGGGATTGCATTCATGTACACGGCAGCACTTGTGATGCGCCAGAGGGAGTCTATAGGTCTCAGAAACAGGCATGCTCAAGTGAGCATTGAAGAAGCATTAAAGCAGACTTGACGTTCCGGGAGTCCGCGGGAAACAACAGGTATGGCACGCGCTGCTTCAGGAGAATCGCAGATGAGATGAACCGATCGTCAACCCGGTATTTAACAATCGCCGCTTTCAGCACGGCTTTAGGAGTCGACTCAAGTACCGCTCTCCACCGGACTGCTTCATCACTCGCCTCAATAATCAGTTGGCATTGCGGTATTTGGCAGGCACGGGCACGGCTTCAGGAGCCTTGGAGTCAAACTCAACAGCATCGTCAAACGAGCGGAGCGAGGAGGGGTTGGTGGCGCTGCTGTTGGTTGCGGCACCAGCCGGGGAGTTGAGTGCCTCCACTGCTTCCCTCAGGTTGGCAGCAGCGGCAATGATCTCCTGCTCCTCCTGCAGTTCGTACGGGGTGCAAAGAGGGTAAGCAGGGCGGAGAAACTGGGGAGTGAGACAAAGGCACAACAACAACAACAGCAGCCGGGGTGTTGAGTGCCTCCACTGCTTCCCTCAGGTTAGCCGCTGCTGCAATGATCTCCTGCTCCTCCTGCAGGTTTATCAGAGTGCAAAAAGGGTAGGAAAGGTGGAGAAAAAGGGGGAGTGAGGCGTAGGCGCGCATCAATGGCAGCAGCTGTGGTGTTAATGCTTCGACTGCTTTCACTGCTACAAAGATATGCAGTCACTCCCAGCTCCAATCATGCCCTACCTCCCTCACCTTATCAGCGACATCAGATACAGCCGACTTAGCAGTCACGCCCTGCCCCAGTCGCGCCCTGCCCCAGTCACGCCCTGCCCCAGTCACGCCCTGCCCCAGTCACGCCCTGCCCCAGTCACGCCCTGCCTGTCTGGGTCCCCACTTAATCCATCCTCTCACCTTGTCAGGAACAGCTGACGCAGCAGGCTTGGCAGCCATGCCCTGCCCCAGGCGCGCGACCTGATCCTGAAGCCTGCTGGGGGAGATAGGGAGAGGGGGCGGATGGAAAGAGAAGGAGAGCATTGCATCGAACTGCACCACACAGCACCGCACTGCACTCAAGCGCACCTCCTCAGTGTGTAGCATGCTTGGCAGTCACGCTCTGCCCCAGGCGCGCGATTTTTGAGGCGCCTCAAAAATCGTCTCAGTTCACGCGGTTTTTTGAGGCGCCTCAAAAATCGTCTCAGTTCACGCGGTTTTTTTAGGCGCCTCAAAAATCGTCTCAGTTCACGCGGTTTTTTGAGGCGCCTCAAAAATCGTCTCAGTTCACGCGGGTTGATTTTTGAGGCGCCTCAAAAATCGTCTCAGTTCACGCGGTTTTTTGAGGCGCCTCAAAACTCGTCTCAGTTCACGCGGTTTTTTGAGGCGCCTCAAAAATTGTGGAGCATGCTTGGCAGTCACGCTCTGCCCCAGGCGCGCGACCTGATCCTGAAGCCTGCTGGGGGAGGGGAGGACGGGGGAGGAGGGGAAGTGCAAGAGAAGGAGCGCAATTGCACATTCTCCACGTGACTATGGCCCATGCGTTTACACTGCACTGCCGTCTGCACTGCACTGCAATCAAGCACAACCCTTCGTACAGGCCTCTGCACTCCAGCAACAACCACCTTCTAGCAGCAGAACCCTTAGCACTCAAAAAACGTTGCCTCCCATCCCCAATCTATCACGCTCCCTCTCCCTCACACTCTCCCTCCCCCTCTCCCTCCCTCTCGTCCTCTCTCACCTGCTATGGTGCTCCTTGGCACCCTTAGTCAGATCAAGCACCATTTTAGAAAGATCAAACACCTCTCCCTACCACTTCGCTCTCTCCCAATCACTCTCTCACCCACTATGCAGCTTTTTGGCGCTCTCAGAAAGATCAAGCACCATTTTAGTCACAGCAGCACCAACACCCTACTGCCCGTGCACACTCCCCATCGCCATATCTTCTTGCATTTCAAATGTGTGTCTCTCCCTCTCACACTCTCCCCTCGCCCTCTCCCTTTATAACCTGCTATGCAGCTCCTTAGCTCCCTTAGAAGAGTCAACCACCATCTTAGTAGCAGCACCACCAACGCCCATCCCCACGCACACCCCACAAGTCTAATCCCTCCATCTCAAATGCTCCTCCCTCACACTCTCTCCCTACTCTCTCACTTTCACTCGCACTCTCGCCCTCTCTCACCTGCTATGCAGCTCCTTGGATCCCTTAGACAAAACCACCACCATCTTAGTAGCAGCAGCACCAACACCCTTCCCACACACCCTACACCTTCTCACACACTCCCTCTCCACCTCTCCCTCTCTCACCTGCTATGCAGCTCCTTAGCTCCCTTAGACAAATCCACCACCATTTTAGTAGCAGCGGCGCCAACGCCCATCCCCACACCTCCCACCATAGCCTCCTTCTCCTTTAACTCAACCTCCAGCTTCGTAACCTTTCCAGAAAGTTCCCCAAGCTCCACCCGAGCCTTCATAAGCGCCTTCGCCTCCACCTTCTCTTTTTCCCGGGCAGCCGACAGCTGCACAAACAGGTCCGAAATCTTCTCATCTGCCCGACCCAGCAGCACCTTCGCCTCCTTCTCCTTCGCCTGCAGCTCCCCGACCCTCCCCTCCAGCTTCGCCACGTTCGCCGAAGCTGCCTCAGCCTCGGCCCGAGCCTCCGCGAGCTGCCTCTGCAGCTTGTCAACAGCCGCCTCCATAATAGCTTCTGCGTTAGGAGCAACGGCAGCACCAGACTTCTTCTGTTCAGCCGAAACGGCCTCTGCGACAGCTGCGTCGAGCTTCTGCTGCTGGCGGGATTTAATCAGTTCCATCTGTCGCAGCAGGAAGGAGGAGCGCTCACTCGCTGCCTCGGCCGTCTGCTTCGCCGCTGCGAGTTCAGCCTGAAGCACATCCACCTGTGCTCGCATGATCAGGATCGCTCCCTCGACCTGCTCCGCTGCCTTGGACTGCACGGCACGGGTGGAAGAGGGGAAGGAAGTGGGGAGAGGGATGCAAAGGAGTGAGCAGAGCAGAGCAGGAAGGAGGAGCGCTCGCTGGCTGCCTCGGCCGTCTGCTTCGCTGCTGCGAGTTCAGCTTGAAGCACGTCAACCTGTGCTCGCATGATGAGTATCGCCCCCTCCACCTGCTCCGCTGCTTTGGACTGTGCATTGTGGGTTGCGAAAGGTGGGACAGAGCAGCAGGGGAAGAGGGAGAAGTGAGCACTTGGCTGCAGCTGCTGCCAGCTCTGCCTGCACGTCCACCTGTGCTCTGATGAGTATCGCCCCCTCCACCTGCTCTGCCGCCTTGGACTGCAAGTCACACAGTAAGAGGGAAGAGGGAAGAGGGAGGAGTGAGCATAGCGCTGCTGCCAGCTCTGCCTGCACGTCCACCTGTGCTCGCTTGATCAGGATCGCCCCCTCCACTTGTTCCGCTGCCTTGGACTCCAAGTCACACGTGGAAGAGGGAAGGGGGAGTGGGAGGAGTGAGCATTGCACCACTGCGAGTTCAGCCTGCAGCACGTCCGCCTGTGCTCGCGTGATCAGGATCGCCCTCTCCACCTGCTCCGCTGCCTTGGACTGCGAAGGGGTGTAGGCAGGAAGAGAGGAAAGCTAGAGAGAAAGAGGCAGAGGGGCGGAGCAAGGAAGAGAGGGAGCGGGAGGTGAGTGGAGGGGCGGCAGGATTTGATGAGTGGAGAGGCGGAGGAAACCTGAGCCCAGCTGGGCCGAGTCATTTTCACATGACTTTTAACTCGCCTCCTGAACAACACCTGCATCTCCCACGCACCTGAAAAAACACCTGAGACTCACCTGAGCAGCGACGCTGTCGAGCTTCTGCATCAGAACCCCAACCTCCCGCCGTGCCTCCTCCTCGCTCCTCCTCACCCTCTCCACCTGCACCACCAGCCCCTCCCTCTCCCTCTCCGCTACCCTCACTCTCTCCCTCGCTG